AACATGAATTTTTAAATTTAACTGACCCCTTAAATTGTATCCCCCTTCCCTTTCATTAAATAGTTTTTGAATTCCACCAGGTAATATTTTAACAATTTAGACTGTATGAAAGCTCCATTGGTGTGATCCCTGTACCCCATCTTATGCACAATTCTTATCGCTCTTTTTTGTAATATATACAATGGTTGAAGTGAGCTTTTGTATGTGTTTCCCCAGTTTTCAACGCCATACTCTAAGTATGGTAAAATCAATGAAGAATACGGAATCCGTAGTGCTCTCCCAAAGAATCCGTAGTGCTCTCTAAAATATTACTGTGGAGCAGTAAGGAATTTCCTTTGAACTCACAGTCATAATTAGGCAGATCAAATACTTAATTTCTTTATAGTTGAATCATATTTAAAGTTCAAGAATATCCACTGTTAAAGATTTTTTTAAAAAGTTGAATAAATGCATGATAACATGTGGATGATAAATGCAAAATAATTGCGATTGTGGTGGCACAGTGGTGTGGTGGTTGGCACTGTCACCACACAGCAAGAAGGTTCTGGGTTTGAGCCCGGGCTGACCCGGAGAGTTCCCATGTTCTCCCTGTGCCTGTGTGGGTTCTCTTCAGGTACTCCAGCTTCCTCTCACAGTCCAAAGACATGCAGCTTAGGTTATTGGTGACTCTAAATTGCCAATAGGAGTGAGTGTGAGTGTATGCGTGGTTGTTTGTCGGCCCTGTGATAGACTGGTGACCTGTCCAGGCTGTACCCCGCTTCTATCCTGTGACCCTATTCAGGATTAAGTGATGATGGATAATTGTGATTATGAGTTTTCCCATAATCAAGCAGCCATAGCAAAAAGCAGTAAAGATATATTATTAAAACAAAAAATATCCAGCTGCAGTGATGTGCTAGTGCAACAGTTGTTTCAGTGTGAGGCTGAGTGTGCATCTCAAAACAGCAAGCCAACCATCTGCTGTGTGAGTGTGAGATGAGAGTATTGAGCCGAATATGGTCACCAGCAGCAGAGAGGTCAGCAGAAGGTGAGGACTAAAAGGACATACTGACCTGCAGAAGCCTCTTTCTAAGTGTGTGTCACTGCCACTGTCTGAAGGCATCCATCGTCTGATTAATCTTTGCCTCTCCATGGCAACAGTAGTGCGTTCTGAACAGGCCTCTGTTGGTGAACAGATGGTTTTTAGAAATCAACAGTATGGATGGAGATGATTTAGCACTATGTTTAGTCTCCCACACACAACTCTGCACTGGCAGGCCTGCTGCTGATTGCTTAATACAGTATGTCCACTTCTGATATTGTCAGCCTGAGGCTGTTTCTCCAGTGACATCTCAATATTTGCGTATGTATCAATTAACAGGATGGAGAATATACTGGATCTGTATTTGGTGGCACGCATAGGGTGTTTATGGAAGGTCTTGCATAACCATGGTCCACCCCCAGGTTGCTTTTTCACTTACAGTGGGTACGGAAAGTATTCAGACCCCCTTAAATTTTTCACTCTTTGTTATATTGCAGCCATATGCTAAAATCATTTAAGTTCATTTTTTCCTCATTAATGTACACACAGCACCCCATATTGACAGAAAAACACAGAATGTTTGACATTTTTGCAGATTTATTAAAAAAGAAAAACTGAAATATCACATGGTCATAAGTATTCAGACCCTTTGCTGTGACACTCGTATATTTAACTTAGGTGCTGTCCATTTCTTCTGATCATCCCAGAGATGGTTCTACACCTTCATTTGAGTCCAGCTGTGTTTGATTATACTGATTGGACGTGATTAGGAAAAGCCACACACCTGTCTATATAAGACCCTACAGCTCACAGTGCATGTCAGAGCAAATGAGAATCATGAGGTCAAAGGAACTGCCCGAAGAGCTCAGAGACAGAATTGTGGCAAGGCACAGATCTGGCCAAGGTTACAAAAAAATTTCTGCTGCACTTAAGGTTCCCAAGAGCACAGTGGCCTCCATAATCCATAAATGGAAGACATTTGGAACGACCAGACCCCTTCCTAGAGCTGGCCGTCCAGCCAAACTGAGCTATCGGGGGAGAAGAGCCTTGGTGAGAGAAGTACAGAAGAACCCAAAGATGACTGTGGCTGAGCTCCAGAGATGCAGTCGGGAGATGGGAGAAAGTTGTAGAAAGTCAAAGAAAGTCAACCATCACTGCAGCCCTCCACCAGTCGGGGCTTTAGGGCAGAGTGGCCCAACGGAAGCCTCTCCTCAGTGCAAGACACATGAAAGCCTGCATGGAGTTTGCTAAAAAACACCTGAAGGACTCCAAGATAGTGAGAAATAAGACTCTCTGGTCTGATGAGACCAAGACAGAACTTTTTGGCCTTAATTCTAAGCGGTATGTGTGGAGAAAACCAGGCACTGCTCATCACCTGTCCAATACAGTCCCAACAGTGAAGCATGGTGGTGGCAGCATCATGCTATGGGGGTGTTTTTCAGCTGCAGGGACAGGACGACTGGTTGCAATCGAGGGAAGGATGAATGCGGCCAAGTACAGGGATATCCTGGACGAAAACCTTCTCCAGAGTGCTCAGGACCTCAGACTGGGCCGAAGGTTCACCTTCCAACAAGACAATGGCCCTAAGCACACAGCTAAAATAACGGAGTGGCTTCCCAACAACTCCGTGACTGTTCTTGAATGGCCCAGCCAGAGCCCTGGCTTAAACCCAATTTAGCATCTCTGGAGAGACCTGAAAATGTCAACCAATGTTTACCATCCAACCTGACAGAACTGGAGAGGATCTGCAAGGAGGAATGGCAGAGTATCCCCAAATGCAGGTGTGAAAAACTTGTTGCATCATTCCTAAAAAGACTCATGGCTGTATTAGCTCCAAAGGGTGCTTCTACTAAATACTGAGCAAAGGGTCTGAATACTTATGACCATGTGATATTTCAGTTTTTCTTTTTTAATAAATCTGCAAAAATGTCAAAAATTCTGTGTTTTTCTGTCAATATGGGGTGCTGTGTGTACATTAATGAGGAAAAAAATGAACTTAAATGATTTTAGCATATGGCTGCAATATAACAAAGAGTGAAAAATTTAAGGGGGTCTGAATACTTTCCGTACCCACTGTATTTTGGCTGATTACCCTTTTCCCCAGGACTGTGTGGGTATATACAGACTGTTCTTGATTTATTGTTCACCCTAACAGCTTAACAACTTCTTTACATACAGAAGCCTGTCAAGCTTTGGATATTGAAGCAGTGTGCGTGGACTGCTGTACTTTAATAGCAGTCGTGTACTACATTAAAATCCAAATATTTATAAAATGCACAGACTGAAGAGCTTCTTGTATTCCTGATGATTCTGGGACTGCACCTGTGGTTCATTGCTGTATATATGAACTAAATATCAGTGTCCTGTTTCTCATCTGTCTGTTTGCCAGGGGTCAGACAGTGAGCTGAAGGTGGAAAAAGATGGGGTGTCGGACAGTGAGTCCAAGGTGGACTCAGGGGTCCCAGAGGTGCCAGTGCCTCCTGATGACACCCCCGAGGTTCTAAACAAGGCCCTTTCTGGACTCTCCTCAAGGTGAGTACTGTTCAAGGAGGAAATAACATGGCTGAGTTTTGTGTGCAGCAACGAAAGCTGGCTCTTTCCTGGGTGACTGTATAATGTACTTACAGATGTCAAACACCTGGCATCTAAGGGGCCACCCAGTGTTCTGTAATCTGAGTTGTTTAGTGAGTGACTACATGTTCTGTATGGGCAAGAGGCCAGTGTTTATTCAGATGTTGATCTCAGCACAGCTATACATGTGGAGGTGTCAAGATTAATCTGAAGTAATCCCTCTTTGCTCATAGTTTTATTGTTATTCCTGGTTGAAAATAATCAATGGCTCAAAATAATCAATATCAAAACGGTTGTATGTGTATGGGCACACTTAAAATGCTTAAAATGACACACTCCACACATAATGAATCACCATTACATACAGTATGTAAAGGATAATGCACATTGAGGTGTCCTGATATGTGAAAATAAGGGAATGGACATGTTTTAATGGCCACCTGGCCAGTCAGTCATTTTTCACTGTGTCTCAGATGATTTATTTAACTACCTTTTCCCCTCTGCTACTGATAACCTTTTGTCTTTTCTTCACCTTTTAGTTGACATTGAACAGAAGTATGTGTGTGTGTGTGTTTAATTCAGATGGAAGAACTGGTGGGTACGAGGGATCCTCACACTAGCCATGATCTCCTTCTTCTTCTTCATCATCTACCTGGGCCCCATGGTGCTTATGATGATTGTGAGTGCACACGACACTGATGCAGACAAGGGGAAGAGGTGTTATAGTTGACAAAAATCATGGCTTACAATGTAATATTTACACAATGCTGTCTTACGTAGTTCTTGTCAGAATAGCGTGATGCTCCTTTAATTTGTAATGAATCTCGCCTGTAGCAATCAACAGGTGCTGGCAATAGAGAAATCATAATTGTTCTCTGTAGCACCTTCTGTGCAGTTGAACTTTTAAAGTAGTAATCTAATGGATTAATGGGATCTCGACTCTCTAGTAACATGCTGCTGTCATCTGGGAATTCACTCAAAATAGGGCCGTCAGCCATTTTTGTGTCAGTAGGACAGCAGGTCATAGGACACACACTCTCACACTCACAGAGTTCTCTGATGCTGCAGTACTCCCTGGTGATCCGGCATTTCTCTGTGCAGGTCCTGTGTGTTCAGATCAAGTGCTTCCATGAAATCATCACCATTGGCTACAGTGTGTACCACTCCTACCACCTGCCCTGGTTCAGGACGTTGAGCTGGTGAGCACCTACTGATACAGTGCACACACAGTCACACACTTTAGTAGACAGGTGTCATAAATGCCACAAATTTCCTTGTTTGCTTCTTTTTTATTGGGTTGCATCATGTTCTATTTTGTTGCAGACGCCCTGAGGTTTGTTTTTTCAACAGGTTTAAATTGAGTAGATTGTAGATTACTAAACCAATCAGCAAATGTAAAAATACAGCAAGCTGTCAGTGCTGTTTTATTTTTTTAGCAATAGTGGTGCATAATTTAGTGCGGGGGTTTTTGGATTGTGACAGCATTCCCTACCCCCTGCCGAGGAGGCGTGTCAAACTCTGCTGCAGTGTCCTAACATTCACTGTGCCATGTTCTTGGAAAATCTCCTGAAAAGTCAAGATGCCATGTGCAGTTAAGTGGCAAAATATTTGGGCTTCTAACACTGACCATACAGAGAAGTGAGAGATGATTTCGAATCAAAGATTTCCACTGTGAAATCCCTGTATCTTTATTCCAAATGCAGCCGCAGGCAAGCTGAATGCTTAGTCTGTGTAGCTACTGCCATAAATGCTGTGAGATGTCTACATTTGCTCCAACCCTCTGTCCCACAGGTACTTCCTGCTGTGTGTGAATTACTTCTTCTATGGAGAGACAGTGACAGATTACTTCTTCACACTGGTACAAAGAGAGGAGCCACTTCGCATCCTCAGCAAATACCACCGTTTTATCTCCTTTGCCCTCTACCTCACAGGTACACACATTGAGACTTGATTTGGAAGCGAAACCTATAAAGATCGGTTCTCATAAATGTGGGTGGAAGGGATTCATTTAACTAGAATATACGTATACCTGCAATGTAAACTTGAGTTTTCGAACTTGTCTGTTTATTCTGTAGATCATCATTATGCCAGTGGGCCACAGCAGTGTACAGTATATTTTATCAGGTTGTTCAGCACTGACTCATGTTCCACATTATCCTCTAGTATAGTACGTTTTATGGGGCAAATGGAAGAAGTAGTCAAATGTAGGATACCACAAACCCAATACATTGAAAACATTTGCTTAACACCAGACAAACAGGTTCTCTAATGGCTACTTTCTACTAGAAAGTGGTAAAAGGTTTATTGTGGCCTAATCCAAGTTTGCCACGGGCTAAACTAGTAGTTAGTGAATGTCCTCAACCATTTATAGTTTGTCAAATGATACCGTTAAATTTAAGTGTAAGGGTGATTTCACACAGCAAAGACCCTGCATTTAATGAGTGAGTCTGCTGTTTAGACTGTCATGTGATCATTAAATTGATTCCAAAAGACAAATTGGCATCAGCATCTCTCAGGATTGTCTCAGCAGATGACTGTGAATGATTAATTAGGGCTTTCAGAAGGGAAATATAAATAAATGTACAGTCCAAAATACTGTATGTTTGTTGAGGATTTATGGAACGTTTTTAGAAAATCAGTATCAACAATTTAGAATATCAGTCTTGATGATTTTGTGGTTCTGGTTAGATTCTTCAGAGCGGGTTATTTCAGGGCCCATGCTAACTGAAGAAGTCCCATTTCCTGTACTGCAGCTTGTCAGGTAGTAATTCACTGCCACCAGCTGCTAAACAGGATGTGATGAGGAAGGAAACACCCTGATGCTGCCTGCCTCTTGCCTGCTTGACTGAAACTCAAACTGAATAGCCTACATTTCTGGTGCCAGGAAACACTACAACCATACATGTATATGCTATTTTTTGACAGTGTATAGACATTACATTTACCCTGGAGAAGAATAAGTGTCAATCTGAAACCTTCAGTAAGCCAGCTGCAGTATGTCTGCTTTGACCTTTGTCTTCCTGTTAAAGCACAGTGTTTAGTTAATTCTACATTAGCCTCTGCACATTAACACTTTGTCTGAAATAGGTCAGCCTAAATTTATTCAGTTTGACCAAAGATTCTGCTTTAATTGCTCTCCTTCTTCTTACAGACACCACTGTTGTCATTATGCTCCTATTAGGTTGTTTCATTATATTTTTGTCTTGTTGTTGCAGGTTTCTGCATGTTTGTGCTGAGTTTGGTTAAGAAACATTACCGCCTTCAGTTTTATATGGTAAGTAGTTGCCTGCCACCTCCTGGCCACTAGCCTCAAGGCTGCTGGGATATTGATGAGGCTAGCTAAAACACAGGCCCTCATTAAAATGAGAAGAGGGCCAGAGGGCCATTTTAATAAGAGCATATAGCACACAGTAAATCCCAACTATGTGTAGTTTGTCATATTAACCAGAAAACCTAGAGTCAGCAGTAACTATACAGAAATATTTTCAATGGGTAACTCAATCAGTAACCAACCATGCAACAGCACATCCATTTAGTGTCATAAGAACAGGGTTTTCCCTACCATTGACAGGGTTTTTGCAGAAGTGCCCAAGCTGAATGAATGTAAAAACAACAGTGAGTTATATGCAATGGAAAGAAAATGGAGGGGACTTAATATCAAAATGAAAACTGCAACAGGAATGGCCTGACAAGAATTTTCAACATTTCAAATCTGGTCATATTTTATTTGTTGCCACCAGTTTTGTCCTGAAATAAGAACGTCACTGTGCTGTCACTGTTCCTTGTTAATCTTAGGTGAAGTCAGTTCACATCAGTTTCAGGTCAATTTCCTGAAGAAATTCACCACTACGAAATCATTTGTCACAGAACATGTTTCTTTATGTTCATTCTGTTCAGAGATGGTCAGAATAAAGGCTCTGTCATTATCATCATAAATATATTTTGGAGTGAAAGCAAATCAGAAGTGTCCTTATTAAACATGCACGGTTAATCTTGTCTCCACAGTTTGGTTGGACCCATGTCACACTGTTGATTGTGGTGACTCAGTCTCACCTTATCATTCACAACCTGTTTGAAGGGATGATCTGGTACGTAAACACTCCCTTTATCTCCTTTAATACTTTGCACAGCCTACCTAATCTGCAGCTCATTTTCTCAGATAATGGCTACTCCACAAGTAAAGTCACATTCCTTTGAAATCAGTTATGATCTATTTCATGTTAATTTGTCCTTTTAGATTTGCTTTACCACACATAAAACATATGTTTGTGCCGTCTCATATATCACTAACATAAACTTGTATTTTTCTAATAGGTTCATTGTGCCAATTTCCTGTGTGATCTGTAATGACATTATGGCCTACATGTTTGGCTTTTTCTTCGGCCGCACCCCTCTTATCAAGGTTGGTTGTCGTATTTGTAGCTGCATAAATGTTTAATGCTATTTCAGATGTTAGTTTTCTGGTAAATTGCAACCAGTATGTATAGATTATTCTCCTCATTAGCCTTTGTTTAGAATGACAGAAGAAGTTACTATTGTGTCTAAGAGGTTATAGTTAAAGGTCAACTGAGTTAAATGGTCATATATCATCCACATGTTGAATTTTTTCATCACAGCTGTCTCCTAAAAAGACATGGGAGGGTTTCATCGGTGGATTCTTCGCCACCATTGTGTTTGGCATCATGGTAAGATATGATTTTCATTTGACCACATGCCTTTATAGAGAATCATAGAGCGAGAGAGTACCTTTTTGTATGCTCTTGTTAACACACCATTGTTGACAGTATCAAAGCATTTGTTATGTTGAGATATGTGCCCGTGTGGCTTGGTGAATATAGTAAGTATACCCTGTAAGTACTTTCACACAATATGTTTTATGAAGCCTAAAAACAATTTGGGAAAAAATGTTATAAGGAAAGATTTGGTAAATACAATGTCAATGATACTATTGACTTTACAAAGTTAGCTACATCTGCAGCCACCTATGAGCTACTTTAGATGTGTCTTAATTTATGTGAGTTACTCTTCATTGAACACATACAGACAGGTGACAAGAATGAAAACCCAACATAAATGATCTCAGCGAGCTGCAGGGCCTCCATGTATCACCAGAACAGTTTCAGTTCTGCTTGAATAAATGTAAAGTAAATAACTGAATGAAAGCATAATACAGTCAGCATCAATGATGCATCCATCTCTGAAGAACCCTGATGAAGTCAGCAGTGTTCAATAAACCTCAAACATGTGATGGCTCCTCCAGAGCCATGTAAGGCAACCAGCAGCTTTCACAGGCCGATTAGTTCCCACCATAACAAGTAAATTATCGTTGACATGTAAAGTCATGTAATGGTAATGATGTGACATCTCCTTGCTCTCCTCCCAGCTCTCCTATGTGATGGCTGGCTGCCGCTACTTTGTGTGTCCGGTGGAGTTTAACAATGACTCCAACAGTTTCCAGGTGGACTGTGAGCCGTCTGACCTTTTCCAGCTCCAGGACTATGCCCTTCCCAGTGTCCTGGAGTCTGCCACCGGATGGGTAAGACTTCACCTCCCTCATCAATCTGACTGGATCTCTTTGGATTGTGCAGTGATGTAAATGTGATTTGGAGGAACCGATCATTAAAACACTGGCTGAGTGTTGTTCACTGCTGGCCTCTATGCAGTGTGGGTATTTAAATCTGGCCCTTCCTTGTCTCCACAGACCACAGTGCGTCTCTACCCATTCCAGATCCACAGCATCGCTCTGTCCACGTTCGCCTCCATTGTGGGACCCTTTGGTGGCTTCTTTGCCAGCGGCTTCAAGAGAGCCTTCAAGATCAAGGTAGGAATGAAGGACACCATGATGACTCAGCACTGTATATGCTGTAAGCTGAGGTTACCCCAGTACCAAATTGACATACATGCAGATCCATTGTGCTTTCAGTCTGCAGCAACTGCTGCTGTCTGTTCTCCTGTTCATATTTACATTGTCTCTTGGTGTGTCCTGCTCAAAATTAGGCAGCTATATAGTGTCACATGCCTGTAGGATATAGTGTCTATTGTGCTTGATTACATTAAAAATCTTCTTTTTACTGTTAATGTCTTTTAATAAAGTTTTTCCTCAATACAGTGTGTGTACAGGCACAGTCCAAGCATGTGTACTGCTTGTTTCCTCAGGATTTTGCCAACACCATCCCAGGTCACGGTGGCATTATGGACAGATTTGACTGCCAGTACCTCATGGCCACTTTCGTTAATGTATACATTGCTAGCTTCATCAGGTAAACTCAAAACACCACTGTCAATGTCATGACAAATTGTGATGCTTAAATATAGTGAATTTGACCTTTGCTTTGTGCAGCTTACTGTCAGATTTAGTTTCCAAAAGATGAATTGTTATAACTAACTCATTAAGGTAGCACCAACACTGGGTAAAAATGTAATTTGTCCAATAGCATTTGCTATTCTTAAGTGCTTATTTGCAAATGTTAGCATGCTAACTTGCTTAACTAAAATGTTGACTGTGGTGACATTTTCCTGATAAACACCAGGTGATGTTAGCATTTCCTATAGCACCGCTGTTCCTAAGGACAGCCTCACAGAGCTGCTAGTGTGGCATTGAACGGCTCTGTGTCACAAATAAACAGAAGAAAGCTTTTCATTTCAAGACAACCAACCTTAACTTTGGCAGGTGAAATTACAATTATCACTGGCACGTTTTAGTGGCCATAGCTAGCTAACTAGCTAACTAACATTAATTGCTGAGTCTCTGGGTAACATTTTAGTGCCTCTTGGCTGATATGAAAATGAGACCCCTGTAGAAGAATCTCAGGAAATATGTATTTGACTGCTACACACGAGATCATGCTAAACCAGTGCTGTGCTAATAAGACATCCAGCTGAAGTACCAGGTATTACAAGCTAGTTAGTTAGCCTGATAAGAGAAAAATGTTTGATGAGAGTGTTGCATGCTGGAATATGGTAACAATCAATGACATGTCCACTGCTCACACCTCTCTGGCTTCTCTCAGGGGCCCCAACCCCAGCAAGGTGATCCAGCAGCTCCTGGCCCTCCGTGTTGATCAGCAGCTCCACATCTTCAACTCCCTGAAGGCTCACCTGACAGAGAAGGGCCTGCTGCCAGCACTGGAGGAGGCTGCTGCTTAGAGCCAGCTGCACCCACACCGGATCACCCTGAGAGGGAGACCAGGGAGGAGGGCAGCACCCGGGGGCTCTGTGTACCACTGGAGCTCATGGAGACTGACTGGGCTTTGTGTGAGCATGTACACATCTGTGAAACAAAAAAACAACTGAGAAAACCATAAAAAACATCAGCCTTGGGTCATTCCATTTCATTTGGATATGAGAATTGTGCATGTTTGTGTTCATACAGTTTGTCTTTTTGACACCAGTGTTTTCAGGTTCAGGTAGTAAATTTACTAAACTGTTACACATTTCCATCGTAGCCAACTTGTATCTATTGACACTGTTGAACAAACTGTCGGTCAGCTGTACATTTCAGGATCTCCTCTATATACTGACTAATGTGTGACAATATTTTATTGTACTTTAGTTCTGTTTTAATGCACTCATCTCAATCCTGTTCACTGTATTGTTAGTGTATCTGCACCCCCCAAATTTAAGTTTTAATTATCTTTGTTGTGATTTTCTATTTATACAGAGATGGTTTTTATATTTGGTATGTTTTATTATATCTTAATATCATGTCTGTGTTTTTTTTTTTTATTCAGACTGAATTCATATTTACCATCTGCTACATGTGTTTGTGTGTCTTTTTCCTATGTTTACTGCCATTCATCATTTCACAGCCTGTCATGCTTGGCCAAATCACCAACCTTACATTATCATGTTATGTGGAATAATATAGGAAGAACAACTTAAGGATAATTGAATCTGGCAAATGCAGAATCTGCTCTGTGAGTTGGATAGCTCCAACTTTAGCTGGTTTTGTGCACCAAGGAGCGGTTTGTTCTGTGCTAAGTGGTGTTTTATTATGAGTCAGTAAATCTCTCCCCAGCACCCCTTTCAGCATAACAGACAGCATTCCCACGACCTAGATGCTATTTCACGGTAAAACAAGAAAGAGTCAGTGATGGGACACAATCTATTTTATTTTTTTATTGCCTCATTTTGTGTCCTTGTCTTTTGTCTGTAGCAGGTCACAAGCCGCTGCATGCTTAGGAAGGTGTCAGGGTTGCATTATTGCTTGTATTTGTGACACTGGGATGGGTAAGGCACAGTGATGGTTTCTTCACTGCCACAGCATCTGTGTGCTGTAACCTCGCCATGTTCACAGCTTCAGGTCAGAAACCCAGAATGTGGCCATCACTGGTCAATTCAACCTGCTGCGTGGGACATTTGCTATAAAGTGACCACGTGTGTTCTCTTGCACCTGATGTTTAAGTTGGATTTTGCCAGTACAGTCAGCTACTGTATACACATCAGTGTTCATTTAGAGAGGTTTTACAGTAGGATTCACTGATATCTATGTCACTGGCCAATGTGTTTGATTTGCTGGTAAAATATAAAAGTTATAACTTCTTTAATGTTGAGTTCATTTCTGTTTTTCAAGCTTTCTTATCAAATTTCAGCTGCAATCTGTAATTATATTGGCAGACGTTAAAGGTGCATTATGCAGATTTTTCTGATGTGACTGAACGAGTACTAGCAGACTGTGAAACACTTGTGTAACGTGTTCTGTGGCACTGAAGGAGTTTTCTAAAGTCTGTAAAATGACCCTGGTGATGTCACAGTGATGTCATTTTAGTTATCTTGATCCGAGACTTGAAGAGCACACGTTCTAGTGGAAAAAATGGGGAATATCAGCACTGAGTTAGAGAGGGTCTAATGAAAGACTGTTGAGATGCATTATGAGAAGTGTAGTTTGTGCTAAAAGGTGGGTTATTTCAGCCTTTGCTGAATAAATTTGAATGATTTTTTTTTCTTGCATTGCTTCCTGTATGTCTCCCAACTCTATCGTAGTGCAAAGCTAATGTGCTGGATTATTCCTTTAAACCTGCCAGTTCCACAGTCACAACCTTTCTTGCTACATGCTTTAATGTTTTTTTTTTTTTTTTTACTTGGGCCATGAACTCCATTTGAACCGAGGCCAGCTGAGGTATTGATAAATTACAATATGCAGCAAATTCATATAGATTTTAAGACTTAATGTTGGCATTGCCAAGTGTTAATGTAACCCAGGCAGAACTGTTGATGTATTCTCTGTCATGGGACACAACAGCAATATGAACATACATAACAGTAGTCAGTGTAGCAAGGTTGTAAAGGTCAGTATCTAAGTGTGTTAATCTTAAAAAAACATCTTGTGAACATGCTTTCATCTGTGTAAATTACTGCGTCACCTAATCTGTGATTTTGGAAATAGTTTGCCACCTTAACCTTGTTCTCATCAGATTTTGTCCTTAAAAATGTTTACTTAGACAAGTGACTCACTTTTTTATAACCCAGAATTAGCTTTTGCTTCACAATAACAGTCAAATTATTAGTATTTATTTAAATACTTTGTCAATGGAATGACCCATTGCACAAACCAAGGGTGGCTTTACATTGTACTTTGCATTTAAATATCACCACATTTGTTATTTTTTATTGTCATTCCACTCACACCTTTGGTTTGACTTGTGTGATATCTAACCTGTCTTAACTTTTTATAGATTTATTTTATTTAAGCAAGACACTACTTTGTACATTTAAGATGTTTGCAAACATGTTCAGTGTTCTTAATTTTGGCTAGAGGAATATTTAAAGTATTATTATTGCTATGTTGAAAAACCTATTGAGATATCAGAAAAGTACTTTCTCTTCCTTTTCTTGCTATGACCTTAATGCAGTTGGATGTTTTCTAGGCTCCTCTCTGGTAGCTGTTGTGTGCTGACTTCTGTGTCACAGTGCACGTTTAAGCTGTGTTGCTTTCGTCTCTTCCTGAGCAGACAGGAAGTCTCCAGAAAGACTTGTGTCTCAGTAGTCATATCTTAGATTTCTCTGGCTTCATCACCTCTGTGGTGGTTTGTTGTTTGAGGTTTTAGCCCCACAGCTCTGTACTGCCATTTCTCTGGTGTTCCAGATGGCCACCAGAGAGAGCTGCAGCTCCCACTGATGCTGCATCTAAGCAGAAAGGTTTGACCACTTGTTACTGCTATTTGATACATTCCACTGCCCCTAAACATGAGATGTACTCATGGGGAAGTAGAATGTAAAGGGTGTGATATAACTATCTGAGGTGTTTTCTCGCTCTCTCTCTCTCTCTCTCTCTCCTTTCTTTTTCATGTGACCCAGAAAACCCTCTGTGCCATTTCTGAGTCCTGCCCAGCCAGGACCATCTAAAAGGAGTGTTTGAGAGTTGTGACTGTGCCACATAGTGTAGGTTTCCCTTTGTGGACATTTTATTATGTGGTTATAGATTCTCTTATAAAGCTAAATGATTTCAATATATTATTCTTAAACCGTGCAATGGTTTGTTTTGAGTTGTGCATTTATTTTGAGAAAACTTGTACTCTGATGCTGAAATGTGCTTCGCCTTGGTTCAGATAAAATTAAAGTTTAAAAAAATCATGTGGTTTGCTGGGTATGACTGCTTTCTTCCCTCTTGGTGTTCTTCCCTATTTTGAAATAGCTATGCCTGACACTGCATCTAACGACTTAGTGGTTCATCTCTTTACTGATACAGAAACATTTCAGTCAGGGTAATCCACAGTCAGTAGTAGATGTCTCAAGCTTTGATGTTAAAAGAGACTTATGTGAATTCTGCCTCCTGAAGCCTCTTGTCTCATGCCGCCAGTGCTGTGAAACAACATCCTTACGGAAGGAGTCAAACCAAGAAAACAAAACCATTTCCTCTAACCAGACACCCCTCCTTATAGTGCCACACCATTAGTCACTTGAAAACTCCCCACTACATGAAAACCCTGGAGAGCTTTTAGTGAATAAGTCTGCAAGCCATTTACACAGCACTGTATCAGAACAAGTGTGAACATGGAACTAAAGGCACCATGGGGGGATGTGTTTTGAAGGGCTGAAAAGAAGAAGAAAGATTAAAACACAGGAAGCAGGAAGTGTGTTCTGTGATATCATACCAGTCATCATCAGTTTGTGTGCGTGCGTATTTGTATGTGTGTGTGTGTGTGTGTGTGTGTGTGTGTGTGCATGCTCCGGTAGAGTGTAGGTGTGAAATCAACCGGTGACCTGTACTATGAGTTAAGGACAATGTCTCTGAAACTACCTCGCAACTGGGACTTCAGCACATTCAAGGCTGAGATAGGTAAGCCAGTGACTGCGTTGTGTTCACTGTCAGCACTGTTGATGCAGTGCTTTCAAATTTCGCATTCTCGGGGACAGTTTGGACATGTACTGTAGCTGATGTCATCTGAGGGATAACATCTGACAACTGGATATAAACCGAAAAAAACCTACATAGCAGGCAGTGTAATATTTGTAATGTTTTCTTGTTTTTTTCGTTGCATATATTCATTGTATAGTCGACTGTATACAGTATAACTGAGGTGCCATCACAACAGTACAATTCTTTTCTGTAAAACAAATGAACCTGATGATAATTACTGGCTGCTCTACACCTTGTTTTCTCTGCTTGGGTTTTGAAGCACACCGCTGGTTGTTTGTTATGTGGTAATAATAACCAGACACAAATCACTGTTACCTAATGTAGAATGAACTGCAAATTGCTCTGATACAGAGTAGCTTGACATTCATAATGTTTAACATGCTTTTCTTAAGCCACTCAAAAGTAATTCCCAGTGGCTTAAATAAGACATTGACAAACGTTTGTGTATATGTGTTTGCATTCAAAACTATGTGCAATTATGTATTTAATGTTACTGTACAGCAGGTTGAAACTTTAATACCCTGCTTACCAGTGTAGGGTGCAATCTGTGCAAAAACATGCCCTGTTTCCTCTCAAGCTCAGATGACATAACGGTTGCAGCAGTCTTATAAAAGAGCCTGCAGGGCATTTATTTTAAATGCTTCTTTTTGGCTGAATATCAGTCAATATTATTATCATGCTCATATGAAATTATGATTTACAATGATGGTGCACACCCCCCACCCCCCATTACTCTTTTACCTTAAGATGTTTTGTGGACCATGACAGATTGTAGG